CCGTCGTTGAAATTTAAAATCATTGTCTCGTAAATCATATTTACAGAAGAAATTAAATATATATATATATATATATATAACAATTATGCCCTTAATAGTCATTTTATATTTTAACAGCAACTGCTATTAAAATTTTACTAAACACGAATAATAATCAGCTATTAGATGATATGAACCGCTGAATTAAACATGTCCTAAATCTATTTACAGAAAAAAAAGATTTTAGTGGGATGATCATGGATCGGAGTTGGTTGGATTTGCAATATTCATAACGAATCAACGATAAAAGGTAATATTTATTTGGTATCTATCCTGCATTAGATCATGTTGATTTCAAATTCAAATCGAATTTGGTTCAGATCATATCTAATTAATATACATAAAATAGAGGCTATTTTTTATATGAAAAGAGAGAAAAAAAAATAATCAGATTAGATTCGGGTTGGCTCATATCTAATTAGTAAATATCCATATCCGCTTAATTTATAAATTGATAAAATTTTATCCAATAAATTTTAGACGAGTCAGGTTGAAAACAGCATCTCTATATTTGACACCTCGTTGTTTCAAGCTGCTAAAAATTCAATAGTCAAATATTGAGTAATTAGAATATTCCAAAATAGCTTTGAAGATTCCCTTTTTCACTCAGCATCTTCTCCATTTTACTCCGCTCGTCGCGCGTTCGCATGGCGTCTCGCCGCTTTTGGAGTTGAGACCTTCAAATTCTTTTATCTTTATTTTTATAATAATAATTAATCTTATATATATATATATATATATATCGATAAAATAAAAAAATTAAACTGAATCCATCAAATTTAATTCAATTTAATTTCAAAAATTGAATTATTATAAATGGTGTGGATTTACTTCCTAATTACAATGAGTTAATATTTGAAAGTAAATAATTTTATCTTTAATGTTAATGTGATATTTGATAACTTACCAAAAATAAAAAGAGTGATATTTGATAATTAATATTGAAAAATTAAGTGCGACAATTTAAAATCTTAATCAAATATTGAATAATTTAAGTGATGAAATTTTTAAGTAGCAAAATCATTTAAAAGCCCATTAACTTAATTAATTCAATAGTTAAAATTTTTTACTTATTTTTTTGATTAAATTTAGATTAATTGAAAATTTTAAATATATGAACATAAGCGTTTTCAATTAATTTAATAGTAATGAATTTTGCAAAATTTTTAGTATCAAGTGATTAATTATTCTATCAAATATTACCAATTAAGCTAACACACCGTTTAAATATGTTTCTCCCTTTCTGTGTGTGTATATATTTTGAGTGTAGAGTTCATTTAGATTAATTGAAAAATTTGTAATAATTATTTGTTTTTATTAGCATAAGTCGTTTTTACGAATTAACTTTAATTTAGTTAATGTATATTTTTGTCATAAATTTGTTTGGAGTATTTCTATAATGGTCGTTGTTTGAGTTAACTGGTTATGTGCTATCAAATATTACCAGATTAAGCTAACACACCGTTTTATAAATATGTTTTCTCCCTTTGCTCTTGTGTTGTGTAATTTTTTATTGACCTATTTTTTTGATTTTAGTATATTTATTGATAGTATATTTTTATATTGAGTATAGAGTGCTAACTTGTTGTGTGATTACAGCTGAGCGATACGGGCGTTAGGCTGGGAATGTAATAAAGGATGCTTTTATTGTCGGGTGTTTAGATATTTCTGCATTTAAAGGACCTATCGTTGCAAGGTGTTTTATTTTTGATTTTAGTGAGTGAATGTTGCGGAGAGTCTGTTAGACTTCTGTTCGTTAATGTACTCTTGATTGTGTCCTGTGAGACTTATGGGGCGTATCATAGTAGTGTGTTGTTGTTGTGGCTTTATGTTGGGTTGATCTTTACACTTAAATTAAAAAGGGTCTTATGTATCATTTACTTGTTTCTTAATGCAAATATTTAGAATAGTTATTTACTATATTTTGTATATCTCAAAAGTTAGGTTAGTTATAGGTATATTATTAACATTTATTGATATTTTTATTGTTATTTTAAAGAATTATAGAAAAAATAAGTTATAATTTGATAGTTGTATATCTATTTATAATTTTAAAAATGTATATTCTTGAATTTATTAGTGTCGTCAGTATATGTGGAAATTATTCATTTGTATCGATATCTCAGATTTTTTTGAGAGTTTCTTGACCCAGTAATAATACTAGTTATTTTTTTTTATTCTATTATTCAGATCATAAAGTGTGTTTTATCGAGATGTTGTTATTCATATAGTATTACGTTATTTGATGGCTATTTTTTCATTTGAGTAGGGGTTTCGGTTGCTTAATGGTTATTGTGTATTGATTTTGTATTTGGTAGTGATTCTCGTTAATAAGGATAAACAAAATTTTTTAAAAATTTTTAAATAGATAAACGAAATGGTGATAAGAATATAGTGTTAAAGGTTAGTTGTATTTCATTTTAGTATATTTATCGAAAATATAATATGCGTCTCATTTTATAGTAGTATCTAATCTTTGTAATTCATATGCAAATTTGTTTTAATATAATTTTGGATGTATGATGGTTGATGCAGCTGTCTTGGATTTGGTTATTAGAATGATGTGTTGTATTCATTTTCTGAGAAGGTTAAAATATATTGTACTTAATATGTATTTTAGTTTATTACTAAAATAAAACGTCTTTAATTCAAGCCCTAGACTTTAGATATATATGAATGTTTAAAGTTATAGTTTGGGTAGTTCGTTTGTGGAAGTTATTCCAGAATTATATTCTTGTATTTGTGAATTAGATTTAATTTATATTTAAATGGTGGGAGGAGTCTTAAAAATATGTGTCGTTGATGGTACTGAAATCATGGATCTAGGTTTGTTTTGCTTGATACTGCGTGAATTACTGTTGTTGAGGAATCTGCGCAATAGGTGTACGCTTGACGAATTGGAAATTGTGTTTCGCGAGGGGAGGTAGGTTGGAGAGTGTTAGTATTTAATAGTAATAGTTGATAGTGAAAGTACATAAATAGTTGAATACTATATTAAAGATTTATCTTTTATGTCGTCGATGGATGTTCTTTACCCTATTTTATATTATTCAATGCGTTCCGACGCTAACGGTGACTGTTTAAGAGATACTTATTACGAAACATACAGAATTACTGCTTCGGTCGTGCTTCCGTTGTTCTGTTTTTCTCCTTCTTGGTCTCGATGCTCAGATTAACATAGCGAGTATTCCTTCATTTTGGTATTTATCTTAAAAAAGGGTTGGAGGAGGTGAAGAAATAAAAGTTTGGAAGTGAAATTACGTTGTTAGAGAAGAATTGTTTCTTGTTAGTTGGTGGATTTCTTATATAGTTGTTCATACATTTGTGCGGACGCTGGCATTTTTGTCCCGGGTGCCTTATTTTGTGGTGTCCGTGGTAAGTCTGCGTCTTTTCTTCGCGGTGTTGCTTTTTTGTGGTTTGCCTTTTTTTTTTTTCCTTTCTGATATTTATTTTGTGTGAGTTCGTTTTTAAATTGGTAATTTTTTATTGTTTACATGGGTAGGGTGTTATTGGTGTCGTCGGTGGCTTTGTTCATTTTTTTTTTTTTTTATATTTTTTTTCTTGTGGTTTTAAAAAAAATTATTTGGAAGATGTTTTTTGCCGTTTTTTTCTGGTGTTAAGTTTCTGATTTTGTTGTTAAATGTGGTTCCTTATGTGATAATTTGGGAGTGGAATATTAATGAATATAATTTGGGGGAATTTTTTTGCGTTATTCTCGGTTTGTCTTTTGGATATTTTCTTGATAGAATGAATGATTATGTATAGGGAGAGTGTCTTTTATGAAATTTATTATGTCTTGTTATTTATTTACTTTGTTTTGTAGGAGTTAGATTTTTTTTGACCAGTAGTATAATTTCTTGACGTTTTTTGTTTTTTTGTCGATTTCTTTAAGGTGTGCCTGATTGTTTTGGCGATGAATTCTATGACTTGAAGAGTAAGCGCCAAAGTCTTAAGGAATTGGTCTATATATATATATATATATATATAAAATCTACGGGTTGTGGTACAGCTGACAACGCAGGCTGGGAATGTAAAAAGAGCTATCGGGTTTAATTCTCATTAAACCTACTTGCAAGTAGGAGTGCGAAGCCTTAACTCTGACTAAGTCCTGAGCCGAACTAGGCGATCCATAGTAGAGTTTGGGTAGGGTGATTTACACAAAAAAAATTTATATATACTTTCTTAAGCAAATATTTAAATATATACATTTAATATCTCAAAAATATATATATATATACATTTAATATAATGATAAAGAAAAAAAAATAAAAGTAAGGATCAAAATTTTTAAAATTTATACTAATTATAGGTGTCATGAATAATGAGAATTCTCAGATTTGAATTTCTTGACCATAATAATTTTTATTTATCTTTATCAGAAAAGGTTTTATCAATTTGATAAACGATTTATGGCTATTTTTCATGGCTTAATGTTATTTTGATTTATTAGGACTCTTAATAAATAAACAAAATTTTTAAAAATTTATTAAATAATAAAAAAGAAAAGAAATATAGGTATTTATTTATTTAGATAAAAATATAATCATTTTGAAATATCTAATCTTTGTAATTCATATCAAATTGTTTTAATATAATTATAATTATCAGCTGTCTTATTGGCTTTAAATATTTTATCATGCAACATAAATAATAAAAATATTATTTTAACTAAAATAAAACCCTAAAAGCCCTACTTAATAATAATTTTTAAATTAAATTTTAGCGTTTGAACCAAATTAAAACTTTATTTTTATTAATTAATTTAATTTAAAGTGAAGCTAAAAATAATTCGTAGCTACTAAAAACAGCTGATACTGCTAATACTGTGAAATCGCGCAAAGGCACCTACATTGAAATTTGTTTCCGAAGAGAGTTGAAGTATTAAAGTAATAGTGATAGGAAAGTAAAAAGTGAAAACAAAGATTAACTTTTAGCCGTTCGAGGAGCACTATAAATCAACCCACGCACGGACTGTAAAACAACAAACAACAAAACGCTCAGTCTCTTCCGGTTCTGTTTTTCTCCTCTTTCTCTGCTCAGTTAACAGAGAATCCTTCATATTTATCTAAAAATAGGAAAAATAAAAGAAATACGTGAAGAAAATTTCTTGTTTTTGCTTCATTGAAACATTGTGCGGACGCGGCATTTTCCGGCCTTGGTCGGTAAGCCTCTTTTTCTCGCTTTGCTTTTGTTCCTTTTTTTTTTTCCTTTTCTATTTTTTTGGTTTTAATTAATTTTTGTTACTTAGGTTATTTTCTGGGCTTTTTTTTTTTTTTTAATTTTTCTGTGGTTTTAAAAAAAATTATTTGGAAATTTTTTGCGTTTTCTTTTAATTGATTGTGTTTGTTCCTGATAATTTGGAGGAAAAATGAAAATTTGGGAATTTTTCGTTATTCGGTTGCTTTTGGAACTATTAGAAAAGGAAAAGGAATTCTTTTATGAAATTTATTATGTCTGTGTATTTATTTACTTTTGTTTTTTAGGAGTTATTGACAGTAGTAATTTTGCGTTTTTGTAATTTGCAAAGGTTGTGATTTTGGCGATGAATTCTATTGATTGAAGAGTAAGCGCCAAATCTAAGAATTGGCCAATTCTCTCTTCTATCATCACCAATTACCAGTAAATGGGCTGCGTTGGTTCTAAAGTAGCTAGACAGTTTCCTGGCCATGAGGACCCAATAGCTCTTGCTTCAGAAACAGCTTGTAAGTTTGTTTTTCTTATTTGCTATGAGAAATTACCTATATTGATTTCTTTTATATATTCTGGTTTAGCTTTTCAATTATATAATTTGCTTGATGGTTACTGTTGCTTGTCAATAGAAAAGTGTGAAATCAAGACTTAGATGATTTCACAGATTCATGATCATGAATTTTTTTTCTTTTCTTCCCCCCTGATTTTTATGGGTTTTACTTGAACTATTGAATGTTCAGTTCTAGCTGGCTTGATTTTACTCACTTACCCTTTTAACTATGTCAAGTCTTTTGATCCCGTGATGCCTTCTTTGCTGCTGACTTTTTATTATTTTTTAATGCGTGAAGTAATAAAATTTGAATTTTAGAATCTGAAACATTGAATCATGGTTCATCTATTTTTGTTGTCCCTATTCTGTGGTTACGAGACTGTATTATGCTTCTGCTTCCCTTACAAGTTTAATTTTTTTTTAATTGGGACTTTTTTAGTTGGTAATTATTTCAGCATCTTAATTTGATATCAAACTAGATCTGAACACTATTAAATTATTTTGCATTCTCAAGTCGGCGTCCCGTCCATTATTGACTATTTGTATTATTCCTTCTATCATCTCTATATGCATGTTTGCCTATGTTTGGTTTAATGGGTGGTTGCTCTAACCTGTGTGTGGTTTTTCTTTGATTCCTCAGTCAGCGTTAGTGAAGTTGAAGCCCTGTTTGAACTATTTAAGAGTATTAGCAGTTCTGTTGTTGATGATGGATTAATAAACAAGGTATCGTGCAACAATACTTTTAATTTATACCCCTTTTCTTTTATGTAACAAGTGTTCTCCTTGTATTTTATTATCAACAGTAATGGTGCTTATCTGTACCATATATGGTTTTCTGAGTGTGTGTGCCTTCCTGATTGCTGTCTTTAATTAAACAGTTGGCTTGAATTAATTTATGTTTCGGTAAAAAAACTATATTGACACCTTTATTCCATATTATCCGAGAGCAATTTCTGGAGTTGAATTTTTTTTTTTCTGTTGCAAAATGCCATTTTTACCCAGATTTGTAGCTTATTATCCGTTTGGTATTGAAGTTAATAATTGTGTTCCTCCCTTTTGGATATTGTTGCAAAAAGTAGTTTGAAGCTATTGTTTATATGTTCTGAAGTTCTTATAACTAAAACATGTAAAAATACCTTGAAAACAGTTTTTATTGCCTCTAAATTCAAGATGGTGGTATTGTCAATAGCCTTTCCAACAATAATGTCAAACAGTCCCTTAATGATTGGATGACGGTGAGGAAGCTGATTAACTTGTTAGATTTTGATGGTCATGATTGTGATGGTACTGCCGTCTTGATATTGATCATGATAACCATGTGTGAGTGCACTAGTTTTATATTGAATAGAATTTATTTAATTAGGACTTCCTGAGAGTATGTGGATTTATAGTAGGGCTATGATACCTATGCTTAAATGGTTAGGATGTTTAGTAAATATTTACATGAAATTGCACATTATAGATTCATACAATTATATTTACATGAAATTATACAATTTTCAAAATGTAGCACTGAAGGCTTTTCTTTTTACTTGTTGATGCAGGAAGAGTTCCAACTGGCTCTTTTCAAGAACAGAAAGAAAGAGAATCTTTTTGCTAATAGAGTATTATGCTTACCTCCTTTTTATTCTCTTCATAATGGAAAAAAAAAAGGGGAAAGGGGAAGAAGAACTGATTTTTATAACTTGCTCTATTATCATTATTGCCTTAGTTTCTTGTGTTGAACTTGGCTTTGTACCCAAATTCTATTAGCAATTAACTGCTTAATCGTCTATTTCTTTTTAAACTGAACACTAATAATAAGTAAATAACACTATTAGCGTTACCAAGGTCAAAAGTTTAAATGGCATGAAAAATTTGGATTTACAATACAACCAGCAATGTAACATCGTCTTTATCTCCTTGTTATCATGTTCTATAAATTTTAATATTAGCATAATTTTTCACGTAGATATTTGATCTCTTTGATGTGAAGCGAAAAGGAGTCATCGATTTTGGGGACTTTGTTAGAGCACTCAGCGTCTTTCATCCAAATACCTCACAAGAAGAGAAGATGGATTGTAAGTTGAAGTGTACTAAACAATGACCTTAAATTGCATAACTGGAGTATTGTTGTTATCCATAATTCTCTGTATAATCTCATAATATCTTGTATTGCTGTGTACTGTTACTTATGTGTAGTGTTTGTAATTGCCTTGCAGTTTCATTTAGGCTTTACGACCTGGATAACACGGGATTTATTGAGCGACAAGAGGTATGGTTAAATTAATTTTATTTGGCTGTGTAATAGTACAAATTCATATAGCTCAGCGAACCAATCATTTGTATCATAAACTTTCCATTGAATGTTAGGGCTATAAGAACCCTAGGTTTATTTCATGATGTGTATTTTTTTGCGTACATCCAATGCACCATTCCAGCTGAACTCCTGCGCTGAAGATATTGTACATAAGATTCTGTGACGGCATTTGGTGGATTCATTCTTACTATGCTACTATAAAGAGTTACAAAAGGAAAAGCAATTGGCTTCACGAAACAAAGCTAGCATTTGGGGTTGGCCATGAGGGTGACTGTCTAAATGACAGCATGATTGATTTTTGCTAATTTCCACACCAAGAGTCAGATGCTGTCATGTCCAACTGGAGTTGGTTTTCCTACAATGTGACAACCTTCGCTTAAATTCTGGTCCCACAAAACTCATAACAGATTTAACTGGGAAAAGCCTATTTTTGATTAACATTCAGATTTTTGATTGGTTTTGTGAATAATTTTGCCCTTCTATTCAAGTCTTATGCTCATATCTTCAGTTTTCATGCTAGCATGTTCAAAAAAATAGTCAGATAGTTTCGCCTGTATATAATGGTTCTTTCCCATATACTGGAAGATTTTTGTTTCCTTGCACCAGAGACTATTAAAACAAGTGTTTCTTAAATTGGTGGGTTAATTATCTGTTTCTGCAGGAAGGTTCCTTTAGCAGCTTAGTTAGCTTTAAAAAAAAAAAAAATTTCCTTGATGTCCATTGAGTATCTTGGAATTTTGTGTTTTTAAAACATGATGATATTTTGATCCTCAAATTGGCCTGTCACATTTTCTTCCTCAAATTTAAATGAAATTCCTCCATGTCACACATTGCATGTTCCTTTCAAGTTTACTATGTTAATAATTGAATAAGCATTTATAACTTAGTTCATTAAAAGAAAGAAAGGTGCAATTCGTCTTTTAGAATTGTTTCATTCATTTGATTTTCCTTTATTCAAAACTCTTTGCAGGCATCTTCATTATATGTGATTTTGGCAGGTAAAACAGATGTTGATTGCACTTCTTTGTGAATCTGAAATGAAGTTGGCTGATGAGACAATTGAGATAATTCTTGATAAGGTCAGTTGTCACCTTCGAATTTCAACTAGTAATGATGTTGATAAATATGTTGAAGCTTTGTAGTTTTCTTTCTAGTTGGAGTGTGTTGTCAATAACCCTTTTGGGTTACTGTTAACTACTATTAGGGGCCCTTTCCAAACAGATATTCAAGAATCATAGGGAACGAGTCCAATGCAAGCTTTTAAAGCTATGGCACCCTCTTGTAGGCTGTTTCAATTTGCTACCTTAAGTTTTGCCCTATAATATACTCCATGATTTTGAACAGTAATTTTCTTAAAAAACTTATTTGAGTAATTGCTATAGTTCCGGTCATGACCCTGTTTAAATCATATAACAGAATTAAATTTATGAGTTTGGCATTGGCAATTTACAGGCAATTTCTGGTATTTATCAAAAACTCACCTCTAATCAGGGAAAAATGGATTACACCAACATAACTTGAATTCCAATTTGAATAGCGCTTTCAGTACATCTGTGATTCAACTTGTCTATTTTCAAATATTAGATTTTCAACTATGGTGACTTGAATTTTATCTAATGGTATATGAGTTAGTTTATCTTTTCATTAAATAACCAAAAATCTTTTTTGGGTTTTAAATTTTTGTTGATAGACTTTCATTGAAGCTGATGCTAACAACGATGGGAAGATAGACAAGTCCGAGTGGCAGAATTTCGTGAGTAAAAACCCTTCCTTGTTAAAGATCATGACACTACCCTACTTGAGGTAATTTACTAAAACCTTTTTACTTGTACAATTTGCAGATTGCCTTTCTTTTTTGTTTATTATTCTGGTTAAATTTATAATTTCTACGTGTAAAATAAATGCAGAGACATTACGACAACATTTCCGAGTTTCGTTTTCAACTCTGAGGTGGATGAAATTGCTACCTGAAAAGGATTGGAAAGTGACTAAGTACATTACAAAATAGCTGGTGTGGTATAAACCAGTGGCTTTTTTTCATTTTTTTTAAGATCAATTACAAAAGAAAAGTGTGATGGTCTGAGGTGGAAAGATTCATTGCCAAGTTAGCTTGAGCTATATGTTAACTTTAAAAGCACCATTGTTCTATTCCACGTTGTCTGTTCACTTTCATATAAATATTACTATTATTACTAGTTTTGCAATGGTGGTATTACTAAATTTTAAATTATACAGGAATTTATACTTTATGAACGAAATAGCAACTCCAAATTTTAATGGCAGTGCTATGTTTTCTTATACAGTTTAATGGGTCCATTTTTACTCTTGTTATTAATATTTATGCAATTGAATTTGTTTAAAGATAAGAATATTGAAATATTAAATTTAACATGAAGGTTTCAGGTAAAAGATTTTGGTATAATTTAGTTTTACTGTAAAATTTTGGCTCTTAAGGAAATAATTTTCTACAAATTTCTCTATTTTATAAAATTTTTCCACCCGCTCTGCAACTTTTGAGAACCCTTGACAAAAAATATTTTCGAGATAAATGGTAGAAAGACTTGAGAGAATCAGCAGGTTAACGAATCGAGTTGAGTCAAATCAATGAATTTAAGCCTGATTTGATTAGAATAAATGAATTTGAGCCTGGTTTGATTAGAATTTTCGAGACATAAAATTCAATTCAAGCTTGATTGAGTTTTAAATAATTTTCAAAGTAATTGAGCTTTTGATATGTATGTCAGATTTGATAAGATTGCTTTTGCTAATTAACATTAGAAAGCTAAAAATATTAGTTTGACATTATAAAATATTAAAGTTCCTAAGTTACTGAAAATATTAATTTTAACTTATAAAATCAACATAAGTAATTATACTTTATAGCGATTAATCAACATTTTGTCATTACTAAAATTAATCATGTTTTTTTGGTCAACCCTAATATTTTTTTTCCATAAAATATTATTATTTTGAGACAATATAATTAGATGATGAACATATATGTCTGGACGGTATACAAGCGTAGTATCCAGAATCCAGTGTAGACACGGATTTGATCCATCTTCATGCTAATTTTTGTTTTTCTTTTCCAATTTCTCCTATTTTTTTGTCAATACACTCTATAATATTATTTTCTCTCCTAGTTTTTAGGCATGTCAACTCAAAGTCCTTTTGACAGTGTATACGCACTTTACTCTTTAAGGGCTTTCATCATTTATCATTTTTTTTTTTTCATTCTATACTTGTTTATAACATACAAGACTTAATCATTGTAGTTGCAAAGAGAATTACATTTTTATCATATTTTTACATTCTGTACTTGCTAAGTGTATAACATGTAATACTTCAATAATCGTAGTTGTAAAGTGAATCATCTTTTTCAATGAAATAAAATCATATCCATTCATCAATTTGCCTCCTCACAACCCACCAAATGCAATATAGGGCAACTAGATAAATATATAACTTATTAAGGCTGACACATGCTGTGCCTTTCGCATTGCTCGTAAAGGTAGATTCTACTATAAAATGTTTGCATCCTTAATGAAGTGGTGACTGAAGAAATATAGAAAGGCATAAGTTGCAAATGGGTCTATAATCATCTTGATGCTAAGGAATACAATCTGGTGGAAGGTTTAGATTACACTAGGACTTTTGCATTAGTTGCTAACCTCACCAGTTCTAGTATTTCTTCAGGGTAATCGAGACGAAGGACATGGTCTTGAAAAGTCTTTATATGTAACGTTTAAAATTCAAACAATGGTTTTCTACTGCTATTTCTTAAATATCTCTATTTGGTTGGTCAGCTTATATTCTCTATATGAAAGTAAAATACAACCAGTTAAGTTTCCCCATAATTTCAGAACTAATACTCTAAGTTTGCCCTTAGTACCTTTTTTATTTAAAAAAGTAAAAAAAAAAAAAGCCATTAGGGTATTAGTTCACCGAGTTCTTCGTTGCTTTTGGATGCCAATGGCAATGGTCAAACCTTTGTCATCAAAATTTCTTGGTAAGATAAAAAAAAAAGGTCCTACCGGGAGTCGAACCCAGGTCGCTGGATTCAAAGTCCAGAGTGCTAACCACTACACCATAGAACCTCTGATTACCCCTCTTTTGGTTAATTTATGATATGCATGAAAATTTCATCACCAAATCATCAGTCAAACGGTAATATTTAGTAAGATTGTTGTTTCTAATTTTTTATTTTTTACATTAAAGTATGCTTATTGTTATTATTTATAGATTAAATCAGAAAAACAAGTTGGAGTACTATATAGAAAATCAAAATGTAATTTATATTTGTATTTTCCAACCTGCTTTTGTAAAGTAACGTCTCACTGTATAAAAGGAAAATATAAAATATAAAACAAAAATGACGTTAAAAGCTTAATTTATTTGCTTAATTTCACCGGTGGTAATTCAAGTATAACCCTGTTACATCGGCATTCCTATTTAATTTATTACGCAAAAGTATACAAACTTCTTATAAAAAAATAATCTATCTATTTTTCCGTTTAAAATAATATAGACATTATTAAATTAATTTAAAATCAAATATTTTACCATGTCAACTTTCTTCACCCAACCTTGCTTTATCTCTCTCCTCCTTATGTCTTACCATGGACACTTAACACACTGTATCACTCTCAACCTTTTAAAACATCCCGATTTGCCCGATTTAATAAATTAATAAACAAAGCTTTGTAAAGATAAAACGCAGCAGCAAGCAATGGCCATAGTCAAGGTAGAGGAGAATGAGCAGTTTATCCTGAATAAAATAAACGAAGAGCTAGAAAGAGGGCTCAATGAAAGCAAGCAAAGGGAAGAGTTGCAGAACGCATGGCGAAGACTCTCTCTCAGACTCTTCTTACTTGTTCTTAAAAGAGTCTATTTTTATTTCAAATATCTAACATTTGATTTCTCTATCTATGTTTGAAATTGTGATTTGAAAGACAGATTTTGTTCTTGTGACCCTTTAGGGCTCTATGGAGGGTTCATCCCTTTGTCTAAGATAGATAGATATATGGATCTACTCTTGTTTTGTGCAAATCGGTGCATGGAGTATCCACTAAAGAACTTCTTATTCATATATCTTTATATGGAGTTTTTATATCTCACTCCAAGATGCCATGAGAGTATTATAACACTATAGAAGACCGATGATTTAGAGAAGTTTCTTCTATCTCCCTCTGTCAACAGATTTTGAGAAGGTTTAATGCTGGTCAACTCAAATATGGAATTCAAGAGTTCCTCCCAAGATCCAATTTCAACAATGATGGTGGTGGTATATAAAATGATGTCCATAAATTTTTTCTTTTCATTGCTTTTCTTGCATGGATTTGAGATTTTTTTTTTTTAATAGTTTCATTTTTGCCGGATCTTGTATTAAGCTTGATTTGTTAAAATTTAATGTGTGTTAAAAAAAAAAAAAAATTGTACTTTAGACTTTGAACTAAGGAGAGCTATTTTACTAAATTCTTTCAAACTACACAAAGAAAAAGAACAAGGGAACATAATGGAGGCCCAGCCCCTAATGGCTTTCCTCTCTGACGGTCCATGGGTTGAGGCCTAATAGGATGTACAATAGCTTAGTAACTCTTAATTCATAATATACAAGTTTTGTGCTATCTTCAGTAATTGATGGTTTATTAACCTAAACAATCTAATTATTTATACGTTCATATTAGGGTTTGGGTATTCATAATAATTACTTGTTCTTAATTTGAGTTTGGCACAAATTTAATATATTTGGTACCGACTATCTAATGCCGTTTATATAAATAGTTAATTAAATTATTAAATAGTTAATGAAATGAAGTATGACTCCAGATGTTTTTATTAATCTTATAATAATAGAGGTTAACAATTAAAGTTATAATAATTATGTTTTAATAAATTACTAATAATATTTACCCTTTTGTATATAAAATAAGCGGAAAAAAAAACTTATTTACGCTATTTATATTATCTTTCATGTACCAATCAATATTAGATTATCATTCAAAAAATTGTCTTCTTGTCACTGTTTTATCAATTTTTGTTATTTTTTTAAATATTTAAGAAGCCCAACGGACCGAAATAACATTGTAAACTACACAGTAGGATAGACCTTTTCTTTGAATAACATTTACCAATTGAGTGATAACTTTTACGATGGAGAACACTTAATTGAGTGATAACTTTTATGATGGAAAACACTTAAACTCAAAATCTCTCACTTCACATATATTTTATAAAACATCAGAGTTTTTTTTATTTTTTATTTGTTCTGATTATCAGTGTTAAATGCATTCGACTCTCTAAATAAGTTTTTCCTTGATTTAAACATGGTAAAACTAAAATTTTTATGCTTATGCCTATAATAGTAAGTACATACATATAGGATTTGGATAGAGACGTCTACATGTTAAAACATATAGCAATTCCTATATATATATATATAACTGATACTGATATTGTTGTTTATGCAGTTTATCTCTTGCATAATTATCAATATGAATCGGCTTTGAAATAAATTGAAAATTTTGATAATAAACGTTTTTCTTTTGTGCAAGCCTATCAGCAATTCAGCATCATAGGCAAAAGAGAATAAATATTCCAGGAAAAAAAAATATATTAGAGCAATTTCAAAGTACATATACAAATTGAATTCAAATATATGAAGAAAAAAAATCTATGTATTTACATTGTGCTTTGTGTAAGATAGCTCTGTTTTATCAAGATTTGGTTGCCAATCTTGCAATCTGAGACTGAATGTTAAAACTAATCCAGTTCCAAATAGAGAACTTTGATCCAAAGAACCGAATTTTCACTGATTTTCTTGATCCTTGTCTTGGAAATTCCAAGTCTCTGGAAATGCTATTCCGAGTAGTCTCTGTATCATCAAGCAAAGGTAGCGGAACTGAACCACGAGACTCGACGTTGTTGATCCATCCTCGAAGTAGGTAATTTACAACCTGCATCGACATCAAATGTCATGTATCTATGATACCATATAGAAATACGTCAAACATGTACAATTTCACAGTTCTTGCAGGATAAAAGGATAATGCAGAGGAATTTTTCTACTCTCGTGTAATGCAACAAACAACTTTTCCAAAATCTTCTCTTTCATTTGCAGGTTTAAAACTGAAAAATGAGTGTGTGTGTGTGTGTCTAACTGGATTTTTGCTACTGTATAGTAGTATGAATTAATTAGCTAAAGAAGTCTTATTTTCTAGTAATTGCACGAGAAATACGCCAATATTAAATGCAGAAATAAGAACATCCAAACGCAATGAACCTAATGTTGAGACAATCCCAAGGCATATATTTGATGTGGGCTTTTTTTTTTTTTGTTTATAAAGTTTCTCTTTTCTAGTTCATTAGTCTTTTCCCTACAACTATTTCATTTGAGAGTATATGATCCTAATAGCTTTTGAGTACCTCCTGACAATTTATGTTTTCAATGGTTATAAGAAAGCACAAATCATTTTATTCCATATAATTGAAATTTTGATTGAATGTCCTGTTAAAATACACTCGCTCTATGATACAGATTTGTGGTAAAAAAATATTTTACTTGAATCATTTGTCGCATATCTTGCATGAGTATTATTGATTTTAAATTTCCATTAATGCAGTGAACTAATATATCAATGCATCGATATATGGTTGGCCAAGAAAATATCAACTAAAATCATGATTTATCTTTTGTACTATCCATCGTAATTTACGTGTAACAATTGTATTTATCATAATATTAAAGTCCCATTTAAGTATTATGTGAGTATAATTAATATAATCATAAATTTCACAGAACCTTGTGTAACTGAATAATATGTACCATGTGCAATGCACATCCCCAAACAACAACGTGTCCCTAAAACATGATCTATAGGATAAGTAATCTAATAAGCAGTATGTTCCATACCTCAGGCACTTCATCATGAGGGCAGTGACCGGCTGGGCTGATCTCGTAATAAGGAGCTTCAGGCACCTGTTGTTTCACCTGAAGACCCCAGATGGGCTTCACCCATGGGTCCTCTTTTCCGTACATAAGACAGATAGGAAGATTGTTCATTTTACACCTGGAAACACAAATGTGCTGTAAGTTCTCAACCAGCAGAATGAGAAAGGGGAATTTATGTGATACATGAAGAGCAGTTCAGTGTGCAGTACTTACCGCATTAAAGATTCCCTAAATGACAGTTCGCCCTGAGGAGCAAACATAATTGAAGCAAATGATGCGGCCGCTGCAGGATGTTGAGTAATCTCAAGAATACGAGAAAACACTTGGTCAACATTTGTAGAATGATCTGCATAAACTTGTTTAAGTACTTCTGCTATACTTTTAGGATCACTTATTTTCTGCCAACTGCAAAAAATTTATAATAATGATAAGTAACGGTATATATAAATATATTCCAGAAATGAGAAGCATAGAGTAGGAGTAAAAGCAATGCAAGATGTATGTAGAAATAGTAAATTTAATATAAGCAGCAGGAAGCTTAATTTATGGAATGATGGCTATGGAGAAGAAAAATATAGCACTTTCTTTGGATTCACATATGGAGTGAGCTAAAGTATGCAAGTTCTCTTACGTTTTGTGATAAATAAAAATTGCTTTTCACATTTTAAAGCAGATGTCATGGTGAGACTTTATATACTTCCAAGACAGCATCACAACTATGCATCGATTGCTATGCAACTTGTTTTTGACCTTATTGAGCAATTAAAAGATAACTTACCAGAATTCAATGAGCTTTCTCACACCTGCAGGTAGAGGAAATGTTCCAGACCATGGAAAAACCCTTGCTAGTCTTGGAGATCTTATAGGATTAGGAAGAAATCCCCAAAAAGGGGTTGCATTTAGCAATGTAACACCTTTCACCAATTGAGGGTTGTTTGCTGCAAAGTATAGTGCCACAAATCCTCCTAGCGAGTTCCCCACAATATAAACTGGTTCCCCAATGACCTGCAACAAACAACCAATGTAATCACCATCATGGTCCATTCATTTTTTTCATAGATAGGAGGTCCAATGGATCGGAATAACATTGTGGACTACACAGTAGAATATAGCCCTCCCCTTTGGATAATATTCACCAATTTGGCTTTATGGTGGAGAGGACTAACTCGAGACCTCCTACTCCCCACCTCTTCTATAAGACATAGGAAGACTAACCAAACCATACTTGATTAGTATGATGCATTCATTTCTCATAAACCAAAGCCTAGAAGTTAATAAATCGAAAATTCTTGACACATATTTGTAGCAGAAATAATAAGGCTATTTTTCTAGTTCGCCATACTTCCTCGTTGGTTTTGGCTAGGTGATTGCAGAGAGATTGGTCATAGATATGCTTCAAAATTAAGGTTGCTTCTGGTGATCAATAATTCCAGGTAAAGATGGTTGGATTGATGGAGTGGCATATACCTGGCTGTATTAGTGATGGTTACCTAGTACCCAGTATTGTCGTTACCAACACTGCACGCCTCTACCAACCCAAATAAAGAAACAAATAAAAGAAGTAATGTAATTTTTATATTGAACTGCCAACATTATATAGACCACAAAAGAATAAGTACAAGAGTCATTGATATAAAGGTGGAAATAGATATTTCCCTGCATCCAGTCTTTGAAGAAGAAAATTTATCAATGTTCATAATAGTCAATCATGTTTATAATAGGCAATCGCACATTAAAACAAATACATGTCCACTTCAGTGTGTTTCTATTCATATGAATACAGGTCAAGTAAACCCGTGCATAAGTCAAAGCAGCACTGATTTTTATGATGAACCACTCATCATAAGGCACGTGCCAAACTTTCTCATGCTTCAATGTGTATAACAGCTCCTTCAAGTTAACGATAATGTTCCTACTGAATTTTGTGTCAAATTAATATTAACATCAAGAATAGCTAATTTCCATGTTAATGGAGCACAAAGCACGGTACAATATCAAACATTTAGTGGAGCCCCTATCTCAAACCCACCCTGGCTCAAGAAGGCACTAACGTTTAGACTACATCTTCACATGTCAAAGGCAAAAACAATGAGAGAAGGGGGGCAGGTCATGGGTGGGAGAGATGCACAAACTGGACATATGAACAAGTTCAACAGTTCACAATATTTTCCGTATGTTTTAGTATTTGATCGTCACAATTTGAAACTCTATGTAGCATCACGTGATGGGTACTAGACACCATGTGTGTATCTCAGCACATAAATACTAAATACTGGAATACAGTACACGTTCAAAAAGAGAGTACCTCTTCTATGAAGTATCGAACTTGATCTCGCCATAAATCCATGGAGTACACAAGCTCATTGGCCCATGGTTCAGCTTCATCTCCAAAACCCCAAAAGTTCTTTCCTTCTAATGTACTCCCTTCCTTCAACAGTGGAGTGGGATTCTCAACTGGCAAGGACATGCCTTGTCCAAGAAAATCAATTGCCCAAACTCTATAGTCCCTCCCTAAATCCTTCAATTGATTCTCATAATGAAAGGAACCAACGCCAAAACCAGGAAGAAACAGCACTGGTGGAGATTTCACATTTTCACACCCAGCTTTCTCATAATACACATTGAGTTTAGGCTTCCATTTCCAAACACAGCTTTCAATGGGAGCAGCATATTCACCATTAGATTCATCTGGCAACCCAGGAATCAAAACCTTTGTTGATTCACCACTTCCTGAAATGCTCTCCACGTCCTTATCCCCATCGATCACATAAGTACTATTATAGTTGCCACTCAAAACCTTAAAGTCAACAACTCTGGAGCCTTCAGGGGCATTAAACAACCCAGAACCTTCCCCTTGATCAAGATTCCCCAAGAAGAACTTATTAATATTAGAAAATCGCAGTGACCCACTTCTGTTATCAATTCTAGCACATAAGACTTGAGATTTTGTACTAATAGGAACCTTTGTTTTACATGAATTTGAGCTTCTACCAACTAATTTCCACCTCAAATTCGTAACACGATGACAACTTGCTATATTGAATGTAAGAACGTCCATAACCAAAGATTTCTGAAATAATCAACCAAAGCAAATGATTAGGAGAAAATAATTTTACCTTACATTCTGAGCAAGTGATAGAAAACTTAAAAAGGTATTTGATTATGTCCGTGCATGAACATACATTAAAGTACCCACAGAAAACTTAAAAAAGGTAATAAAAAATTGCAAAATCACTTATCAGCACAAAAACTTCTATTTTTAATATAAAAAAAATAAGAAAAAGAAAAGTCGTAAAACCCCTCTTGTAAAGTGCATGAACAATTGCAGTCAAATTGTCATCTTCGTTCTATGGATGTATCTAGAGTTGCTTTTCTTTTCCTTGTTTTTCCTAAGTTACTTAAACTTAGGTGGCTTGATGGTGACAGGGCCAGTCACAAATTGAAGCCCTCAACCCTAGGAGTCAGACAGTATAACCGGATCCGGCACCAATAAGGACCTTCCCCTTCCATTTTTCTTTCCTCTGCATAATTAAAGAATCGGTCTCTCTATCTATCTACCCTTTGTTTCCTCAATTTCGTTACTCCATTCCCCTCCTTCCTTTTTCTCAACTTTCTTAGCAATTTCCCTCTCCCCTATCTCTGTCAAACTGCCCAGAAACACTAGAAGCTTGGCCCTAATCCAAGTAAATTCGCTTTGCAGTGTAAAAAATAGTGTTTGTACACAAAGCACACGATGATCTTCGATATTGTTTGAGTTTCTAAGCCCAATTTCAACTCCAAGAGTTGAAATTAATTAACTCATAAAAAGTAATGCTTCTCAGATAATTTTCTTTCATTTTCCGAGGAAGCAAACAAAAGCTCTATGCAAGAAAAAGAAATTAATACAAACAAAACTTGTTTGTAGAAGCTTAAACTATATCAGGATTAAACTACGATTGAACAACTTACAAGAAGCCTTTTTTCTAGTAAAATTCATAAAGTAGAAGCTTTAATCAACAGATCAAACGCTAAAAAACGAAAGGAAAAGTTGAAAGAGGTTTGTTACCTTCAATTTGCAGAGACAATAGTCATTCAAAACTTGATACTTTAGAAACTCTCCAGTCTTCTCTATGTGATCTGTACTTGTGAAAGTAGAGCAAAATCTATAGAAGACAGAGACAGAGAGATTGCGTTTTCTTGAAAGTTTCTTCTTCCTGCAAGAAGCCAAAAATAAAATCAGCAATCACCAAACTTCTCATTCTTTCTTTTTTCTTTTTCATTTTTTCATTTTTTAATTCAATTCTCCAATTTTTTTGGGTAAATAATTAATTATTAAATAAAAATCGTGGCCTTTATTTTTGGAGAGATATTACTCTTATTTGTCTGTAATTAATTTAATATGTTGATAATGAGATATCCTCAACAATTTTTATTCTATTCTTTTATAAAGTGCTTTAAAAAAATATGATTATAATAATAATAAAATATATGCATGTTTAACTATGCTATAACCATGAACTTTTTGTGCAAATTTAATACTTTATTAAAATAATTTTTTATTTCATAAAAATATAAATATGCCACTTTTATATTATTATTGTTTTCATGAAATTATGCTTCAAATTTGCAGTATTTAAAATTTAGTAAATTATTTTATATTTTTTTATTATATTATTTAAAATTATTATCAAAATATATAATACAGTGATAAATACATATACGATTTAAAAAGTTATCGTTTTATTAAATTGAAATTCAATAAATTTCTTAATTTTTATATAATTATTAAAAAAATAATAATAATTAAAAGATGTGGAGAATGATCACTAATTTTATCTTTAAATATGGGGGCAGATAAATTCAAATTTTAGAAACTTTTTGCATCAACTTTTTTAATTTTTTAAACACCAAAGTATATTTGTAATTTTTTTCGTTAAAAATCACACAATTTCAAACATTGGCCCCAAACTTCGACGTTTTCGGTAGTTACAAGAAGTACCCAAAGCTTATGAAAGGCGGACATTTGGTCCAAAAAGGAAGAAGTGACCAAAGACTGACGGTGAAAATAAGAAGTGCGACGACTCATCTGCACGTCTAACACGTGGTGGCACGTGCTTAGAACACATATCACTAATTTCAACAAATTATTTTCCTTTCAACTTGTGTTTTCCTCTAACAGCGTGTTAGGCGAAATTAGCTATTCCGTTAACTGGTAGTATTTTTTTTGTTGTGTTTAACTTATTAACTGTAGCTTTTCACAAAACTTTAATACGCTGATCGGAAAGAAGAGGAATAATAATACCAATGAAGGAATCAAAATAGCGAAGGAAAATAACTATGAATTTTCTTTTCATTGTTATTTTCCACTCTTTTATTTGGATAATGAAGAAAAATAACGAAGAAAAGAAAATAAATTTATTTCTTTATTTGGACAATGTAAAAATTTAGAGGAAAAATTATTAATATTGATATTTTACCATTTTAACTTTACTTATTCTTTTAGAGAACTTTGATGATCATATAATTTCAATAAGTAGTTTGAACATTTGGGTAGCTACGTAAAAATTGGAGACATTTCAACATTCAGCCGTACTTTCTCTCCCAAAGACAGAGATTCTGTCTATGTGGATATGGAGGAAAATAAATTAATGTTTTTTCATTAGTTTTCCTTCTTTCCAAACAAGGTAAAATTGCTTCCCAAAGTTATTTTCCTCAGCTATTTTGATTCCTTCAAAAAAATACCTTAATCCAAACAGAGTATAAAAGCTAAAAGTTCTGTGTGTTAATTTTTTATAAAATGTTTCATTAACCTCTAAAAATTAGTTTAAACACTATGTTACCGAACATTATAAAAAATCGCGTTTAATATTTTGATAGTCAAAAAGTTAAAAGCTATTTAAAAAGCTATTAACGAGCACAGTCTAATTAACTTGTACATTTTCACTCATATTCACTATTTAGTTTTTTCTTTCTTAATTTTCTTTAGACAATGCAACTATGTATAACTATGTTTTCCAAAATCCCCGATTCCGTGGATTTGAAGTTTTTTCATATCGATTGCTAGCAGATTTAAATATTATTTTATTTAAACTCCGTTAACCACAAAAAGTTACTAGTACAATTTTCAACTTGGTGCTTTTATGATAATTTTATTTATACTTATTTAAAAAAAAATTTAATTAATATTTTTATTTATATAATATGTTAGAATAAAAAAGTTGCTTTTTTATGATTAATTTATTTATACTATTTAAAAAAAATTAAATTAATATTTTTATTTATAGTAATATTTAATTAATATTTTTATTTATATAATATGTTAGAATAAAAAATATTATATTCACTTTAAAAGTATATATATAATACTTCATAATGTATAAATAAATAATTATATCAACGGATACTTAATCCTTAATTGATTAATTTGTTTCTCTTTTCCTATCCGGTTGTCCGATGAGTCAAAGACTCCTGCCTTGTCTTATTCATTTGTTTTTACTTTGTTAAAAAATCAGGTGAACTTCAGTGACCAGACCGACTACAAATGAATCCTTCCTTTGGACCTAAAAAGCATGCACAAAGAAGTCACCGCTGTCTTTTTCTTAATATTTAAAAATACAGAATTTATGTCCTCTCTCCCTTGCTATAAGTCCATCTTTACCCTTCCGCCGTTTTTCTGACTCAATATTATGGCCGAAATAGAAAACTGAGACGGTATGACACATGGAGTTAATAAAACTTATAATATTATACATGTTTTAAAAACTTAACGGCCTCGGCAGTGACCAAACCATCGGCTTTGTTTGAACTAAAATAGAATCAAACCGATATTAGTTTATGAACCGAATCGATTCGAACTGAATTAGTTAATTTTGTCAATTTTTATAATATCAATTGGATTAAGTCCAACTCATGCATTATATGAAATTGACTGGAACCAAATAATAAAATTAGTTCGAATTGATTAAATTGACAAACTGAAACCTCCTTGAATGGCTGCTGAACCAATCAAAATGAATCTGTTCGGTCGGTGTTTTTGTACCCTAATTAACCTCATTAATCAGTAATCCTCCTTTTCTCACTGTCTTTAGTGCTTTGAATTGTTGGGCACAGTGGAATGGAAATTTCTTAGTAGAGGGAGTCTTTTCACCATGCAAGACATCTCCGATTACACTTTCAAAGGTCATTATATCTTCACTTCCAAGGCCATATAATTAAAAATTAATTGTCTTGTTGGTGGAGGTTGAAGGTGGGACCGTGGGAGTACGTTTAGACATAGGGTTGTCTAACCATGCAAGACATCTCCTTTTACAACTTCAAAGGTCATTGTATCTTCGCTTCTGAGGCCATATAATTAAAAATTAATTGTCTTGTTGGTGGAGGTTGAAGGTGGGACCGTGGGAGTACGTTTAGACATAGGGTTGTCTAACCATGCAAGACATCTCCTTTTACAACTTCAAAGGTCATTGTATCTTCGCTTCTGAGGCCATATAATTAAAAATTAATTGTCTTGAATATTTACTTATAAAACTTGAGAGCGTAACAATTATTTGAATTCAATAACTGTTCCAGTAATTAACTTAGAGAATAATTTTAGCGTGTAATAATAAATTTTAGCGTGTAATAATAATAATAATAATAATAATAATAATAATAATAATAATAATTATTATTATTATTATTATTTAATGGTAGCTAGGATTTATGGAATTTCAAACTAAAAGTAACCAATGAAAACTCAAATCTAATCATAATGAATGATTTTTAATTTTCGTTTCCTAATTTTTTGCAACTGAAATTTTCTCTTTATTTTCGGAAACCCAAAAATTAAAAAAAAAAATTTAGAATAAAGAAAAAACAATTTTTTGATCGTATAGAAGAACAATTAAGCCAAAGTTCTACTTTCTTTTTCCTTTTTCTTTGTTCTTCCTCTTTAAATTATAACTTATAAAATCAAAGAACTTTTTGTATAATTGTTCATAAATAAATTTCAACTTATAAAAAGCAAAGAAATTTTCAACTTAATTTAATGTTTTCGTTATATAATTACATTTTAAAAAATTTTATTAAATCTTTTTTTGTCTTTTGGATAGATACGGAAACTCCCTTTGCATGCCATTTCGACATGCTAACTTGCTAGGCAAGTCATATGACTACATATATTTCTTTCTTTTTTTAATTTTCTTTTTTTAAGTTTTTAGACGATCTTTTTAATTTCCCCCTAAAATGCAATGAACTTTTCTAAGATCATATATATATATATATATATCATAATATTATATATATATATATTATATATATATATATATATATATATAACACTAAATTAATATGAGATATTTCTATTGATTGCAAGTGAAAGTAGATGATTAAAATATGATTTTAATATAAATAGTAGGGTATTTGAAATTATCTTAAACACAATAAATGACATTTTAAGATAATTGTTTTTATAAAAAATCTACAAACGATCTTAACACATATTAAAAAAAAAAATTATAGTATGGTTCATATATATTACAATTAATTCTGATATGAAACTAAGTTTTGAAGTTATATTTTTAAGCAATTAATTATGTCTTTTATGCACTTTACAATAAAATTTTAAAAAGTATAAATATTAAATTTTGAAATTAAAAATTAAGGTGAGCGCTATAAATTCAATTATCAATCATTATATTTTAAATGTGTATATTTTAAATTCAATACTAATTTATATTTTAAAGTAAAGTATATTTTAAATTCAATTATCTTTTTCCTTCATTGGAGGCTTTTATAGGCCGAAATAACGCTACGAGCTATACAACAGAAATAGTTGTCCCCTTGGCTCACCAAATTGGTGAAAATAATTGTGGCCGACAGAACTCAAACTCGAGACCTCTCAGTTTGTTGTTGCTAGTTAGGGCTAAATGAACCAAACTGTTCATGAAATATTCGAGATTCAGCTTGATTTGAGTTCGTTTTCTAAACGAGCCAAACTTGAACATAATTTTAGGCTTATTTAAATAGATAAACCAAGTTTAAGCATAGGGTAATTCGGCTCAGTAAGGCTCATGAACTGTCTCATTTATGAGGTTCGTGAACAGGCTTGTGAAGAAGCTTGGGAACGAGTTCGTTTAGTAAGTTTGTGAATACACTCGTTCAATAACTTAGTGAGTTAATGCTCATGAATGAGCTAATTTATAAATTTATTCATGATCATTTTATTTTATTATAAATGTGTTATTTTTATTAATAATTATTTCAAAAATTATTATAGTAATAAATATATTGCTAAACTA